AAATTTTTAAAATTATAAATTAATCGTAATTTTGAAATTACTTTAGAACTCCCGAAAAATAACAAATATGAAAACATAAAGACTTATTAATAAACAACTTGAAATATTCTAAGAAAAACAACAAAAATGAAAAATTTAAGAATTGTAATTTTACATATTAATAAATAATTTATTTTTGATAAAACCATGTGTATTTTAAAAATAATAAATTAACTTTACATTCTTATGCTCTATAATTTTTGTTAATAAAAATTGTTTCACCGGATTATGAAAGTATATGCACATATTTCTTTAAGTAGCATATCGATTTCTACTTCTATTTTTTAAAATATTATAAGTCACAAACAAAATAAACTAATATTATCAATAAAAAAGTGAGATGAATTTACCTAAACAAATAATTATTTTTGAAGAATGTTATCATTATATATAGTTAAATTATCTAAGAATCATATAGAGGTCTAAGGAGAATAAATTAGATGTTTTTTTATTAAAAAAACTCAAGATTTCTATCTTCATGAACATAAACAAATAATATTAAATGTATGATTCAACAAACAAAGAGTTGTAATTATATTAGACATATCAAATTATTTTTCCTTACAAACTCAAATTATGCAAGAATGTCTAACCATTTTCACTATAGATATATCTTCTATAATCGGCAAATCTGACTAAATAAGTTAAAAAATTATCTACCAAAAGAAGAAAAAGATAAAGAATAAGGAGAAAATTGTATTTAAACTCATATAATTATTTTTGACAAAATATAAATAATTCAAAAGGAAATAATATAATAGAAACATTACTTCTTAAGGACCTAAAAATAATAAAGAATAATCATTATATAGCTCAAAATCCATTAATCTCCATCTCTGAATGTTCTCATTTTATCCTATATACAAGAGTCAAGAAAAATAATAACAAATAAATTATTAGTCCTAAAATGTATCTCAAAGTTAACAAAATAAAATCTTATATCTCATAAAGAATAAGGAAAAAATACATTTAATCATAAATTCTCCTACATAATTATTTTGGACCAATAATCAATATATTTAACTCAAAATCCACTAATCTTCATCGCTTGATGTTATCATTTCATCCTATATACAAGAATCAAGAAAAATAATAACAAATACATTATTAGTCATAAAATAAATCTCAAAGATAACAAAACAAAATAATTTATCTATAAGAAATAAAAATATGATGACATATTAGCCTTACTTGCTAATTAAAAGTAATATATGAATATTTGAAAAAATAATGCACCTCAAAGCTTACAAATATTGTAACATTTCTTCCACTAATTCTCTACCAAAGTTGACTACAAAATAACAAACAATTTTAGTGTGATTTTATAGTGTTAATGTAGCCTTTCACATTAAATAATTAGAAGTTATGAATATGAAAGGTTTGAGGGTTATGAATATTATTAATACTACTTTAAGAATAGAATTTATATAATTAAAGAGGTATAAGTTAATAAAAAAAATAATTGAAAAAATAAGAAAAAATGTCAAATAAAATAAAAAAAAATTAATAGAGGTCATAGAGAGGTGCCACATCACCTCCTCTATGATCCTCATTTATATATATATATATATATATATATATAGATTTTTCCTTAATTGAATGCACAATAGCTTTCATATGAATTCACTACACTAAAAAGTTAACGACAATTATTTAATGGCAATAAAATGATTGCCACTAATTTGTTCTCTAAAATTAGATATAGCGACAAATGCACTTTGGCCGTAAAAAAAATCACTTTTCAGTGGCAATAAAAGACAACTACCACTAAAAGTCAATAACTATAAACAATTTTGCTATTTTACTTATTCCCTCAGAGAAATAATAGACGATAGTCATTACATTCGTTGCCCTCCTTCAGAATCACCACCTACAGAGTCATCATAGACATTTTATTTACCATCATCAGAGCCACCATATTCACCGCCACCAAAGCAACAATATTCATCACAACCACCAAAACAACCGTATCCACCCCCACTACTCAGACCTCTAAATCCACCTCCGCTGCCGAACAACATATCTGTTATCACTACAAAAAAGGGCTCGTTTGTGGAGATTCAATTTTTGGGGTTACAGTAACCTCCACAAACATGTATTAACCGTGGGGGTTCATCACAACCGCTCTAATTTTTCACTAGCTTGAGGGGTTTAAACCCTCGATATTCGTTAAAAAGAATTAGCCGAGCAATTCTCTCATACTTTAATTCTTCATTCAATTTTTTTTATGCTATGAGCTAATCTATATCCATATTTATATCTATCTATACGATCTTAAAATTATAAACTCCTAAATTTCAATGTTGAATTACTATAATACCCCAAATAAAAATACTCAAATTATTTTATATATTCATTTAAGAAATTTTGTTAAATGAAAAGTAGATACCTTTTCACATTATTAAAGAGTTGTTACTTTTCCAATTTATTGTGACTTTTTCGAAGGATTGTGATTCCTTTGAGAGATTGTGACATTTTCGACGTGTTGTGACTTTTTCGAAGGATTGTGATTTTTCAAATGGTCATGTATTTTTCGAAGGCTTGTGCTTTCTCCAATAAGTTGTGACATTTTCAAAGGATTGTGACTTTTTCGATGAGCAGTGGAGTTTTTGAAAGATTGTGACATTTCTAATAAGATACTGATTCATACAACTATTTCTTAACTATAAATAGAGGGTGTTTCCTCTAAATTTTAGTCTATAATTTTTAAAGTTTTCCAATCTTCTTCTTCTTAAAAAAAAACTCAAATGTTATTTGCAACAATTGGTTAAGGTCAAAATTCAATGAACTTTGAGGTACCACATAAGAAAGAGTTGGTGAACAAATTTTAAAAAATCACTCATCAAATCACTCTCTTAATTTCCTATTACGATTTTCATCTTTTACATATTTCAATATTATTCATATCATTTTAGAACATCATTTTAGAATATTTATATGTTTTTAGGTAACCTACATATATTATTTATTAAAAAAACACTTATGTACTATAAATAGTCACAACAATTTCAACCGTCATATTTCTTTGCTCCTTAATCACAAAAATTTATTTCTTATAAATTCTTCGATATTTCTTTTATGAGACAATTTAAGATCATTAAAATTTTTATAAATGATTAATCCCCCATATGTTGACATGGTTCACCAAAGTCCATAGCATGACAATGTAAGTTATCCAAGAAGATATTTCTGTACATAAAAGGAATTCAAATTGGGGCTTTACGTTCGTAGAAATGATCAAGAAGTACTGCGGGTTCGAGCCCCGTCAGTCCCGACGGATCCATTGACGAATTATTCATTAGAATCGACATTAGAAATCTAGTAGTAGTATTTTTTTTTAATTATGTAAGGGGGTAGGTGTAGGGTTTCTGATACAATAAAGTATATGATTGGTTTGAAGAACGTCTCGAGATTCAAGCAATTGCAGATTAAGGTATTTACTTTCTATTAAATAAAAAAAAGAACCGAGAAATGTGCTTTTAAGGGTGCGTTGCTTCACGCAAAAAACCTCTATATATAGTGCGCCAAGGTTTTCATCTCTCATTTTTTTTGTTTCTTCAATTAACTTCTTTTGTATTTTCATTGGATAAAGAATTTTATAATAAGTGTTCACATAACGAGTGAATAGTGACAAATACACACATTGTGAATTATTTTTCTAATAAAATTAACTTGTGGTAGACACAATAATGATAAACAAATACAGAAAATGCACATGATCTTCTTTATTTCTCTTTTTTTTTTCTTTTACTCTCAAACAAAGTAGTTTCTTCCTAATTTTTTGGTTTTTTCTTATTATATGATGTAATTTAACAATTTTTTTAGTAGATATATAAGTAAAAATTAATGAACTACGTAAGGTATAGCTGGAAAGAGATTTCACTCAAATAGAACACTAGAATGAATATAACATCAACATATATTTTTGTCTTCCTACTTCATTGGCTATTAATTGTGTTCCATATATTATTTCTTTTTATATGTTGTAGACAATAAAATTCGCTTCAAGGAAACAATAATCAAGAAAAATAGATTATAGCAACAACCATTTTATTATTTTAAGTCTGAGTATTATAATCTCTATGATTCCTCAAAATTCACTTTTTCAAATATAATTCAAGGAATCTTGAGCTTGAACTTGAACTTGAGATTTATCTTGATCTTGATCTGGATCTTGAAATTGGACTTGGACTTGATCTTGACTTGAACTTTATTTTAAACTTTAACTTGATCTTGATCTTGCACTTGAACCTGAACTTTATCTTGATCTTGATTTTCTAGTTGAATTAAAGGGCTTCGATCTTGATCATGAAGCCAGCGGTCTTGATCTTGATCGTTCTTGATCTTTATTGTACTTGAAACTTGAATGCTTGAATTCTTGAACTCTTGAACTTCTAGAGAAATCTACAGCTTTCGATCCACAAGTTTTCTCTAGCTTCTTATTAAAAGTTTTTGGTCCTCTTTTTCTGAAATATGAGACCCCTATTTATAGTTTTAGAAGAAAGGAGTTTCGATTGGAATAGGAATTCCTTCGGGTAATCAGATTTAAGTGATATGGCATATGAGCTTTATGTCCCGGACTTTAATTAAATTTATATTAATTGAATTTAAACATTAAATCAATTATATTAATCCAAAATATTTATTTTGACAAATATACTTACAAATTTAATATAATCTGAATCATTTAATAAATTTATATTTGAATGAATTTTAAATGATTAAAAATATCACTGTTTCAAGTGTTATCACAATATTTTATTTTTAAAAAACTAGACTTGAAGTATTTTTTAATTAAATAATAATTAGTTGCCGGACTCACACAAGTGAATAATTTAATATACCACTTTAATATATATATATATATATATATATATATATATATATATATATATATATATATAAGGTGAAACAGTTAAGTTGGAAGACATACAATCTCACTCCTTGTGGATTGGCAGATAAATTGCCCAAGAATTGACTGCCTCAAACTTTCCCTGTTTCATTCAAATAGAGACCATCACTTGATAATTATCACTTCCCATCTTAAGAATGACTCCTAATTTGGGTCTATTTTGGAGAAGGAAGACCTAGAAAGAAAAATAAAATTAAATCGTAATTGGATTGAGAATTGTAATCCTATTCAACTTCAAATTTATATATATTTTCTATTGTCCTACAAAAAAAAAGTATTGTATTTTGACTAGGAGAAGAATTTCATTCCCATCACATGACATCTATAAACAGATGTATTGTATCCACATTTTTTCTTCAATTATGAATTGTGAGCTACAAGCCTACGACGAAAGGGGCATCATTCAAGGTAATTTTCCTCTTTTTTTTATTTTCGTTACTTTTTCTACAGCTTAACACAACTATCATTGAAAATTCATATCTTATTGTAGAAAAATTAAAAGCATGAACATTTTGATTTTCTAGAAACTAGACTTCTAGATCTCTAACATATCCAAAATTCAGAATTTAATACCTAATATTTTAAAATGATTTTCTGAAGTTTAATATAGATTCTACCATGCTGAAATTTTCAAAGTTGCGTGGCTTAACCAAAACTTTCATGTCTTGATGTAGGAATGCCGAAATCACAAGCCGCTCAATCATTTAGAATATAGACCAAAAGTTCTACAACATATCCAAAATTTAAGATATAATCCCTTCAGAATCTTTCTAGATGATTTTGTAAAGTTAACTTTTAATTCTGTCATGTAGCTGATTTCAGATTTTTGTTGCCTCACAAAATATTTTATATCACAATGTTAGAACATCGTGCCAAAAATGGTTGTGATGGCTTGAAATTATACTTAAAAGAATTATTTATTGCCAAGAAAATATAGTCTCAAATCTAACCTAGCTAGCTTAGCATGACTTTCAAGTCTCAAACCTCTTGACAGGTAACAACTTCTCCTCTAATTTTTTTGTGGTCTTCCACCATTTTTGTAGGAAGGCTTCGAAGGATGATCAATGGAGAAGGTAGTCTTATGAATCAAAGGAATGAATACTCATTCCCACCTAAAACAAGGTAACTTAATGGTACTCTTAAGGCGAATGCGGATATATATATAGATCCCTACCTTAAGAAAGGTAACTTAATGATATTATTAAAGCAAAAGCTGATAGATGTAAATGCCCGCCTTAAGAAAGGTAACTTTATGGTATTGTTAAGGCAAAAGTCGGTAGATGTAAATTTCCGCCTTAAGAAATGTAACTGAATGGTATTCTTAAGGTTAAAGCGGATAGATGCATGTCTCTACCTTAAGAAAGGTAACTTTATGGTATTCTTAAGGCAAAAGCGGATAGATGTAAATCTCCTCCTTAAGAAAGGTAACTTTATGGTATTCTTAAGGTGAAAGAGAATAGATATAAATTTCTGCCTTAAGAAAGGTAACTTTATGGTATTCTTAAGGCGAAAATAGATAGATATAAATTCCCGCCTTAAGAAAGGTAACTTTATGGTATTCTTAAGGCCAAAGAGGATAGATATAAATCCCACCTTAAGAAAGGTAACCTTTATGGTATTCTTATGGCAAAAGAGGATAGATATAAATCTCCACCTTAAGAAATGTAACTTTATGGTATTCTTTAGGCGAAAATGGATAGATAAAAATCCCCGCCTTAAGAAAGGTAATTTTATGGTATTCTTAAGGAGAAAGAGAATAGATATAAATCCCTCCTTAAGAAAGTTAATTTAAAGGTGTCAAGACTTAAAAACTTCTACTGTCAGACTTGAATAATTTGAACATTTCAAGTTGCAGACTTAAATGATTAAAAGACCTCAACCTGTTGAAGAATTTGAAGACCTCAACTTGCAGACTTGAAAAATTTGAAGACTTCAACATGTATACTTGAAGAATTTAAAGACCTCAACTTGCGGACTTAAAGAATTTGAAGACTTCAACTTGTAAACTTAAAGAATTTGAGGACTTCAACTTGTAAACTTAAAGAATTTGAGGACTTCAACTTGTAGACTAAGGATTTCAACTCGAAGACTTAAAGAATTTGAAGAGTTCGACTTGCAGACTTAAAGGATTTGAGGACTTCAACTTGCAAACTTTTAAAAAATTAGAAGACTTCAACTTGCAAAAAAGAATTTGAAGACTTCAACCTGCAGACTTAAAGAATTAAAAGGAATCAACTTGTTGACTTGAGAATTCAACTTGAATACTTGCAGAATTTAAAGACTTCAGCTTGGAGATTTAAAGAAATTGAGGACTCCAACTTGTAGACATACATATTTTAACTCGCAGACTTGAAGGATTTTAAGACTTCAACTTGCAGACTTAAAGAATTTGAAGACTTCCGCTTGCAGAAAAGAATTAGAAGACTTCAAGTTGCAGAGTCAAAGAATCTGAAGACTTCCACCTGGAGACTTAAAGTATTTGAAGACTTCAACTTGCATTGTTGAAAGATTTGAAGACTTCATCTCGCATACTCGGGGAATTTGAGGACTTTAGCTTGCATACTTGGAGGATTTGAAGATTTCAACTTGCATACTCAGGGAATTTGAAAACTTCAATCTCAAAGAAACTTAAAGCATAATGTTAACGGAACTCATACTTATTTAAAGGCTTGCCCCCATCTATTGACCAATCAATAATTCGTACAAGTCTAAAGTTTGATGAGACAAAAGATAAAAGAAAATACTTATTGATTTCCATTGCTTCAACTTTCATATAAGATCAAGTGGGAACATGTGATTTTTTTTACACTCGTGCAACTCAACTTAGAATATGGTTCTAAGTGCCTACATACCTCAGTAAACAGGATAAAGCCACAACGTAGTTTTGGGGAATTGAGTATTTTTTTGTTGTTGTGGTGTCATACACAATTTATACTCTTGTGTGACTGGAGTAACATGTAGCTTAGGCTTGTAGGTTAAGAAGCATCATCTTATTTCAAGGGTAGTACCTCTTTAGGAATTTGGCGTTAATAGGACCGACCCTTGTTCCATCAACATCAATAAGCTTGTATGCACCATTTGAATATGATTCTTGTGTTATATGGTCCATCGCACTTTGAGGTAAATTTGCCCTCATACTTGTGTGAGGTAATGATGGGTCTTCTTGTCTCGAGAACTTTGTCTCCAACTTGGAAGCACCCTAAGCGAACCTTCTATTAAAGCACGAGATACACAAGCTTGATAACATTCAAGGTTTTTTTTGGGTTTCTAGCCTCTTTTCATCACGTGTTTCTGACTCAGCAAGATGAAATTGAGCATTTTCTTATTTAGTGAATTCTTCTTGAATAGATATCTCAAATAAGGTATTTGATGCTCAAGTGGCAAGACTGCTTCAACTCCAAAAGCAAGTGAATATGGTGTTGCTTAAGTTATAATATGGTACGTCGTTCTATGAAGTTCGGAAGACAAGTTTATTGCATCAATCTGCCTGATAGGAAGAGTTAGTCCTCTTAATGTATCTTCTTGAAGGTGAAATGATTGACTTCCTCTTTCTTTACTTTTGGAACATAGCAAAGTCCATAAGTTAGTTTCTTCTTTAAAACCTGATATTTCCTTCATTAAGATTGGAACAAAGTTCTTTAGTGTCAACTTTTGCCTTTCCGACAGCCCTATCGATTCTTTTGCTTGTGATCATGTCAGACTTAATTGATTTTACATCATTAGATTTTGTCTTATTAACAACATGACCCTTCAAATAGAATTTTGCATTAGCAAAGTGTTTCTCAACTTAGGTGAAAGGATTATATCCGTAACTATCTTCTTTTGAATCCCGCCTCCAAGATACTTTAAACATTGATAGTAAGAAGATGAGATGATCTTATTCTAATGTACTCAAGGCGTGCCAAGCAATATATTGTATGATGTCGTTGCATAGATAAAGTGAATCTATGCACTTGATCACAAATCTTTCATCTGGATTTCTAATTTAACAGAGTCTATGGACCTCTGCCCCACTTGATTGAATCATTGTATCAACACGACCTCCACTAAGTTCTTCAGTAATGATGTTCAATTTTTTTAATGTGTGGAATGGCAGAATGTTGACTCTTGATCCTTCATCTATTAAGAATCTATTTATCTTCTTCTCTAGCACGTGACCCACCATATACAGAAAATGATTATGTAGTGTTTCACCAAAGAAAAGATCATCATCTGTGAATGTGATTTTCATATCATTGACAAGATTTCCCTTGTTGCCTTTTCTTCGCCACTAGAAGACACTTTTTTGTAAGACTACTAAAGTTGTTCCTTCATTGTCAGTTGGAGACACCCTCATTGCTTCTTATTTATCAACATTAAAACATGACGCCTCAACATTTTATTGAGTATACTTTGTGCGCAACCAACTTGGTAAGAATTCCTCTAGAGTTATAGGATGTTGGGGTTTCTAGTAGTGATGCACTTCTACCTTTGCCTTCTTTGGGCGCTTGATTGATTTTTCTTCACCAGATTTTTCACCGTCTTCTTTATAAATTGTTTCTCTAATGATTTCTTTCGTAAGCTTGACTTGTTGTATCTTCTCTTAGCAACAAGAATCCAACCTTCTTCAGCATCTATATAAGCTTGAGATTTCTCTTCTCCAATTAATTTCTTCATGCTTTCAGAGACACGCATTTGGACTAGATCGAGTGAGCCGAATGTAATTGAGACTTGTTTAGAACTAGCTTTATCATCATCAATAAAAATCTTTTTTCTCTAACCAATCGCATCACTCCATCATTGAAGACAAAACATTTTTCTAGAGGTCGACTAATAAGTCTATGATACTTGCGATAATTTGGGTCATCAGCTTTCCCAGATTCATCAAGTCGCTTCATATACGACAACTCAATGATATTTAACACAAGAAACTCATCAAAAATATCAGAAACGTCAGAATCCAAGAAAGGATATTCCTTTTCTTGCATCTCCCTTAGGATCGACTTTTGGTTCGAACGTGCTTGAAAATTCATTCTCACATTTTTCTTTGTGCCCTCCTTTTTAGTAAATTTTGCAGGTAAAAGATTAACATTTATGGATTCTTTGTTGTCACTCCCCGGCACAAATTTGCTCCATCTCTTAGTATACTTCTTTGCGAGGATCGTGGAAAAAATTAATATATTTGCCAGCGGAGGACATGCTCAACTCCATATCATGAGTGCGAGTAGCTAGATCTTCGAGGGACCCTTGCAATTTAGGCTTCCGTTCCTCCACCATTTATGAAATCTATGACCGGTTCATCCTTATTTGGCGAGTATTCGTGAGTTCTACCATACTCACTGTATACATTGTGTTGTAGAAGCAATTGAAAAACTCGTGCTCTAGTTGTTCCCAACTATTGATAGAATTGGGTTTGAGATATGTATACCAATCAAACTACTTGACACGGTGGTCCCCATAGGTCCCAACATCATTACATATTTCCACAAAGTATGCAACTTGTTGTTTTGGATTTCCTTTGACCTCGAATTGTTGAAACTTTGGAGGTTAATATCCAGCAGGCTTTTGAAGCTACCAATTCTCGCATTGTGACTTGGGATACATATAAGAGGACTTGGTGGAGACTTATTACTTAACTTTGGGAGTGCCTTCAATGAACTCCTTTAAGTGATTGAGTTGGATTATTCTTTCAGAAGAACCTGACATCTCATTAACAACGGTGCTTCCTTCGCAGTATCTCCAATCTCTTGAACTTCAACACATTTCCCAAGAGCATGACTCGCTTCTCCATCTAAAAGTACTTCAATTCAATCCATCAAATCATCAATTCTAAACTCTTGGTGTTGTACATGCTTTATCAATCCTTCAACTAACTTTATCAAATTTGTGAATTGTTGATGTACCGTGGTTTCATGATACTTCCAATGATTTTTCCTTAAGTTTAGTGTGTGTCTAAGGCCCTTTTGTATTGGTTTTAATGTAGTTTTCTCTTTGTTTGTAGTAAATCTGTCCAGAAGGAAAACGTGGGAGAATTGTGCTAAAAATTGAGGAAGTGACGACCTACGAAGCCATCGACGGTCCGTTGTGACCTTGACGGTCCGTAGGTGGCCACCGTTGAATGGAAAAAAAGGATGCTAAAGAAAGTTTGGGAATACAAACTAAGTGTGGGGTTACAGACGATCTCGATGGACCATCATAGACATGATGGACAATCCTGCACATCCGTCAATGTTAATAGAAAGTAGCCCAAGTACCCATCTTCAAAAGATTCTAAGTATGGAGGAACAGAAGCAATCGACAAACCTTCGTGCACGCAACGGACCGTCATCCATGTCCGTCAATGGTAACAGAAAGTTGGTGAAGAAAGTAGCAAAAAAAGAAGTTAAGTATGGGACGATGAAGGTCCTCGATGGTCCGTCGCTCTAGTCGTCGACTCAGACGCGTTTTTGGGCAGATTTTCCTTAAATAGATTTCCCTTTTATGTTAGGACTTGTCTATTATAAATACTTGTAAAAACCTTATTTGTGGGGTTAGATTCTTGGGTATTTTTCAAATTTCATTGTTCTAGTTGTGAACTTGTGATTTTAAGAAATTATTCTATTTTTTGGAAATCGTTTGTTGCATTTTTTTGATTTATTCAAGTAATTTTCTGGATTTTCTTCAATATTATCAAAGTAAGTGCATGAATTATTATCTAATTAATATGAATTGCGTGATTATTAACATGGGTAACTAAACTCCATAACTAGGGTTGTGGAAACCATGGTTAAATAACAAGGTAAAACCTAGCTATAATAACAATTCTCGAATAGTGTCTTGCACGTATTGATAATTCTTTCTTTTAAAAGTATTTTTAACGAGTGCACACGTTAGAACTCACATTTTTCTACTCGCCAGACCAAGGAGGTATATAAGAAGAAAAGAATTATCAACGTCGATTTAGTATACACTATCTAATAGGCTAGCATCGGTTCGTGCGAAGTAACAATTAAGCCAAACATCAGTTATGATGCTTAATATAAGGTAAATGTAAGATTTAGTAAAGCATACACACGTAGTTGGACCAAAGTGTGGAGTCAAAATCCTAGTTGCCGGACCAAGGAATTAGGGATACATAACTTACCACTTTTTATGCAAGATACTAGGAAAGGATTTTTATAGCTAGAATTACCGCATTATGAACCTGTGAGGAACACTTAAGCCCTAATTAATATCGTTACTTGATAAAAATCAACTCTTTGAATCCATCACTTGTTTATTTAGAAATAGCTAATTACATTTATTGCTTAAAACCCCCTAATTACATCGCCAAGGTGAGGTTGGTGTGTAAGAGTTGTGGAGAGAGGCCTGATTTGAATATGGACGTAATTGGGTTGAGAGTGTTTCCTCTTTCACTGACGGGAGATGCCTCTATATGGTTTACCGATCTTTCCTATAACTCAATCTACACTTGGAATCAATTGAGGGATGTGTTCTTAACACTTTACTACCCAGTGTCTAAGAAGATAAACCACAAAGATAGGGTGAACAACTTTGTGGCACTACCAGAAGAATCAGTCAATAGTTCTTGGGACATATTTACTTTGTTCTTGAGAAGTGTCCCCAATTATCGCATCGATGATGAGTCAATGAAAGAGTACTTTTATCGGGGACAAGGTGATAATAATAAAGCAGTACTGGATACGATAGTGGGTGGTTCTTCTGTGGAGTGTCCTTATGTTGAGATTGCTGAGAAGTTGGAGAAAATCTCCTGAAATAATAAAGCTTGGAGC